GGTGGGCAGAGGTGTGAGCTGGTGGCTGCTGGTCCAGACACTGTGCTGGGAAAGGCTTCCCGAGCCCTCAGCCCCACAGGATGCACAGCTGGGGGCAAACCCTGGCATCCTACAGCCCCTCTGCCAGGCTCTGCAGCAGAGCTGGTGAGGATGGGCAGGGATGCAGCAAGCAGCATCCTTGGCCGAGCAGCATCCTTGGCCAGTGGGGCCACAGCTGCTCTGAGGGTGCACACCAAGGCCAGAGCAGCTCCAGGTGCCACTGTGGCTTCCCAGACACTTTGGAGTGTCCCACAACCCCGTGCCAGAGTGCACAGCCCTGTGCCACCCCAGCTCCAGGGGAAGGGACACCTCCTCCAGGCCCACGCGTGGCTCTGGCTCACACTGGAGGGATTTTACACACAGCTTCGTTCCCTTCCCCACTCTGATGTCCCTCTTTTCCCCAGTGCTCCAGGCTGGCCTGGAGAAAGAGCCACGTGGCCCTTGTTCAGGCACACTGAGTGGGGACAGAAGCCCTTGGGTGCTCAGGTTGGACCTGCCCGTGGCTCTGCTCAGTGCTCAGGGCACCACAGCCAGGAAAGGAGTTCCTACAGAGGCTCCAGGACGTGCCAGCATCCAGGAGGGTTTTCCATGTTGCAAGAGCAAGAGCTCATCTCAGCCCAGGTCCACCACACCTGCAGGGAGATACCTGGGAGGCTCCAGGCTCAGCCCCAGCAGCACACCTGGCTGCTGGAACTGCAGCCCTTCGTACCTACCAGACCTCCAGCACACCTGGATTGCTTCCAGAAGAGCCTGGTGCTCCCAGCATGTCTTTCATGTGCATGAATCACCAGTAACCAGCACTGCCCAGGCTCCCAGAGAGCCTGGACACCCCTCACCACAGGCAGGGAGAGCCAAGGCTGAACCTCACCTTGAAACCATCAAGGCAACGTCTCACAGAGGAGAAGGAAAGTGAAGGTGGCACAACACAGCTGCTGTGCTCACCCAGCCCCTCTCTCTGGGCCTTTGTGCTGTTCTCTGGTTGTCAGAGAGACAGAGGAGGAGGCAGGAAAGGTAAGCCAGCAGCCCTGAGTGCCAGGGGACACTGGGACCATGGAGCTTTTCTCCATGCACAGCTCAGCTCAGGCCTCAGGGAAAGATGAGGAACACTGAGCTCACTGCAGGGAGCACTCCCTGCCCTGCCCAGCCAGTCTGGGGCAAAAAAACCACTCTTTCAGGAAAAATGTGAGTCAGGGAGAAAGATCTGATGTAAAAACCATATGAAGAGAGAGATTCTCCTCCCATTCTGTGCTGTGGGGCCAAGAGCTCCAGAAGAGGAGCCTGAAGAGCTGGCACAGAGGGGTGGCAAGAGCCAAAGGGCTGTCAGGAAGGACAGAGCAGCCAAGGAGTGAGGCTGGAGAGAGCCTTGCCAGGCAGATCCCTCCTGGGCACATTCCCCACTGGGAGCAGCATCCCAGCAGTGACCAAAAGCAGCTCCAGTACATGACAGTAGTGGCTCTGTGGCCCTGTCACAGCTTCTGAGGTGCCCAGCAGGGCACATCCAGCCTCCTGCAGAGCAGCAGGACACCATGGGCTGCACCAGAACAGCCTCCCCCCACCCCAAAAACCAGGCTGTCCTGGCTCCCCAACCAGGGCAGACCCAGAAAGGCACAAGTGGTGGGAGAAGTCTAGCCCAGGAGGTGATGGCATTCTCCGAGCAGCAGCTGTCACCTCTTTCCAGACAGAGCCCCTGGAGAGAAAGAGAGAGAAAGAGAGAGAGAAGAAAGAGCCCCCCAGAACCCACTGCCCCCAGTACCTGTGTCTGTATCCTGTTGAGGCCCCTGAACCAGAGGATCTGCCCACGCCGCAGCTCCATCTCGGCGTGGTCGATCTCATCCACGTCCTCGGGCAGCTCCTCCTCTGGGATCTCCTCCTTGGTGATGCCATGCCCAGCTTCCTTCAGGAACTTCAGGTGGCTGGTTGGGACAGTGCAGATCAGCTGGGGAGAGGCAGGGAGAGAGCAGCTCCTTAGCCCAGGGCCTTGGCAGCACAGAGCTCGCTGGCCAAGGGGGAGCAGGAGCTGCCAGGACCCAGCTGAGACACCCTGGGAGGCAGCAGAGCCAGGTCACTGCTGGATGGGTCACAGCAGGGTGGGATTAGGGAGTGGATTAGCAACCTCCTCACTGCTAGAGGGGGATGGATCACCATCCCCTTCCAAAGTTACCTTGAACAGACACTGGGCAGGACAAGGGCAGGGAGGGAAAGCCACGCTGGGCATGGAGACACCACAGTTTGGAGACTGGCTCTTACCTGGCCCCACAGGAGCTCTCCCACTCCAATAAAAATACACCAGAACCACTGGCTCAGGGTGAGCCCAGAGCAGCTGAATGGCTTCCCACCAAACTCCACAATGATGATCTACAGCACAGGAGAGAAAAGTCACACACCAGGGAGCTCCGAGGGCTGCAGAGCACAGCCATGAGATGCACAGGTCCCCTGAGATCACACATCTTCTCCCCCCTCCTTGGAATCACAGGTAGGAACTTTATGGGACACCAGAGGTGCTGCTTGGCACCTCCCAACACACTCTAGACCCCAATGTCATAGAATTCTTGAATCCTAGACTGGTTTGGGTTGGAAGGACCTTAAAGATCATACAGTTTCACCCCTCTCCCACGGGCAGGGACACCTTCCACTAGCCCAGGTAGCTCAGAGCTCCATCCAGCCTAGTTTTAAACATTTCCAGAGATGGTGCAGGTTTTGTGTCACCAAGAAGCTGCAGGAGAAGACTAAGTGCTCCGAACTGAGCCGTGAGCAGTGACTGCAGCAGACACAGGTCCTGCCTGTGGCACAACCCCCTCCCAGCCCCTCCAGCCTGTTCCCAGGCTGTCCCACAGCCTCACCTGAGCTGCAAAGGTGCCCAGCACCACGGTGCAGAAGATGGGGTTGCGGTAGATGGACTCGAAGACGTTCCTCTCGCCGTGGATCTTGCGCGCGTTGATCTCGTTGAAGAGCTGCATCATGACGAAGGTGTTGAAGATGATGGTGTAGTGCTCCGAGGGCGGCGCGTGCAGGGGGGCGTTGCGCCCGCTGTCGATGTCGAACAGCACCTCCCCTGCCGGGGGGGACACGTCAGCGGGGGGCGATGACCACCGCCCCGGGGGTCAAGGGGCTTCCAACACTTCCCATGGGTTGGAGGATC